TTAAAATACCGTTGTCAAGCTTGAATTTCAGTGCTGGCATTGTGAATTCGGTCCCCAAAAATAGGATTTTAGAGTCGGCAAAAGTGGCCCTTGAGCTTGGCAGTAAGGTCTGGCACGACCTCGAATTTGAAAGGATCGATGACAAAAAGATAGGAAAAAATAATAATGGAAGTGTTACTTCTGGTGTGAATAAAAGAAGAAATGAGGATTGCCCACATTCATTAGCTATAAGTGGGGACATGTTTGCAACGAAGGGGCGAGTGATGGTGTTGCCATGTGGTCTAACATTGGGGTCACATATCACGGTGGTGGGGAAGCCAAGGGTAGCCCACGCAGAGACTGATCCAAAGATTTCGCTGTTGAAGGAGGGACAGTACTTGATGGTTTCACAGTTTATGATGGAGTTGCAGGGGTTGAGGATAGTGGACGGAGAGGACCCTCCAAGGATCTTGCATTTAAATCCACGGGTGAAGGGAGATTGGAGTGGGAAGCCTGTTATTGAGCAAAACACTTGTTATAGGATGCAGTGGGGGACTGCTCAACGGTGTGATGGGTTGAAGTCTCGAGCTGATGAGGAGACTGGTGAGTAGTCAGAATTGCTTTATTGATTATTTGAGTTGCTTGGTTTCATAAATTGTTATGATGTTAATGTTCGTTTTTCTGGATTGTTATTTTTGTTGGACTGAATCTGCTGCATTGAAAATTGGTTTCGTAGGAAGAAATTATAAATACTTTATAAGCAATCTAAAGAAAAAGGTGAAACTTGATTGTAGAAATCTATTTCACTTAGCTTGCTTGCCTATGGCGATAGCTCATTTGTCTACTTGCCTGTGGGATTATACAGGTTTGATCGCACCGTGGCTTTCAGTTTATACATCTTTATGTATTTGTAGAAATTATCCTTTTAGATTCAAGCTAGCATGGTGAAAGATGAGATTTATGGGGAGAATTGGCGGTTCTTAATGAAAGGATGTTGTGTATGTGGTTCATATAGAGTGGAACATAAGTTCCCTGGATCAAATAGCCGGCATCGGCATTGTACGGGTTTAATTCACTGTCTGGTCGCCAGAGATGCTGAATGGGTTGGTGGTGAGGGCGTAACACCTTTGCGGTACGGTACAAGGGTATTTTCTTGTACGTGTCTTAAAGTCTTATATGGATCTAGGCTAGGGTTAGTATAAATAATATATTGTAGTCCTATTTTCACCACTAAATAAAATTATCTCCGCTTCGCTTTTGTGGACATAGGCACACAGCCGTACCACGGAAATTTTTGTGTTGATTTCTCTATTTTATCTCTTTATTATTGCGTATAAAATCCAACAAAGGAATTAGGTGTGAAATTGCATACGATTTAAACTGCCAGAATTCTTGAAGTGCATTTTTATTTTCCCATTTTTCAGCAATCGTAGGATGCTCGAAGAAAATTATGGAGAAAATAGCATCTTGTCCACGTCATCTATAATTTGCCCTTTTGCTGGAAAAACTATAATTATTAGATATATAGATTGAGCTTAAGCATTGATATGTAGTTTTATGTATGTGGTCTTCTTGGCTCTTGAATCTTCTGTGCTTCTCTCTTGTGCACTAACCTTCGTGAATAATTCTTTGGACTTTCTGCAGTTGATGG